GATGGGCCAATCGGGAGGCCTCGTTTAGGGGCGATTACGCAGGTTGTGTATTCATTGAGAAGTAAATGGCCAATGTGTGATGAATGGCCTACGCACAGATTCAAGAAAAGAAGGATACAGTAATTCAGTGTTCACACTCAAATGCCAGGGTTTTGGAGAAGTAAAACAATGTGGTCAAAATGGAAAACAAACTATTTTGAAATCCAGGTCAAACGTTTTCCGTTTAAGTATGCATACGACTGGAGGATATCTGCACCTCTTCTTGATGAGGACAATGTGCCTTCTGATGCATAGTAGGGATCCACACATTTTAAATTACAAAAGGTGAATAGATAGGTGGGCTACACCCTCCTTGCAGATGCAGGAGGGTCTAAGGACAGTGGTGATGATCCAAGACACTCAACATTCAATGACATTTATCAACATTTATGGACATTGGTCATATGCCCCTTATGGTTTTGTGAAGTCTTCTGAGATGTGATTTGGGGATATACAAGAATAAATTGAATAGAATTGAATAGGTGATTTTCACTTTAGGTGCAAGAGATGTGTCTTTTCAGGTCTGAAAAAATGATCATCACCTGTTCAATAAATGGATCACTAGATAATCAATCAATTCCGATTTTTGCAAGTTGCACTTGTATTGCACGGTATTACACTGCTTTTTATATGATAAATATTACAATTTGTTGTTTGAGAAGAAATTAAAACTAAAAGGTGAACATTTAATTTTGATTGAATTGTGATAAATCTTACTGCTCCACTACATCGTCAAAATCATTTAAACCGGCGACTTTTCATCTTTAGTACATTAGAATTTGTGTTACAATAACACATGGGAAGGAGAGTAGTCCTGAGATGAACCAGTTGTGTTGTCGCCTAACCTGGTCAAGAAAGGACCAGTGTGCTTGCACACTGATGGAAATTAGGGCTACACCTTTGATATTGATTCAAGTAAGACTTTTTGGAGGCATTAGTACAGACAAGTACCTGTAACTTAAAGTCTGTTACATACAACAATATACATGTGCGTATGCATTTACATGAAAGCATGCTAATGCTGCAAAGCAGACTTCATAGTCTGTCACCGGAAATGATACCGGAGAGAGACAAAGACACCTAAGTTTGAAAAACTTAAAATTTAAAATTTAAAACAAAGCAACAAATGTAATCCTGAATTACTCTAAAACAACAAGGGACAACAACTATAACTTGGTCAAAAGCTTCTTTAAACCTTTTATAATGTTTACTTTTTGGGCTTATGACAATGTGAAGCCATCACTATCTGTATCCCACTACAGGACCTGCATGTCCACCACACACACCCCCCTCCCGATCCTTCCATCCAGCACCGCGCCAATATTTACGCATAGTGGCAGGACTCCCACGCGCTCCGAGCGAGGCTATCCCAGAGCGTCCGCGTGCTAACAGATGATGGATGGCCCAGTCGATATGTTATGTCTTAAGAGCCTGATTTCCTGCCAGTCCAATCACCAGGCCTCCAGTGGGCCCGCTCAGCTGATTGGACAAGCAGAATAATTTGGCTGGCTGTGCAAACACTGTCTGTCAGGGCCGGCTCGGTGACGAGACTCAGGCCAGGGGAGCGGGGAAGGGGGGGTGGCGGCGAGGGAGGGTTGGGGGTCCCCGTGGTCCGATGCGGAGGGGGAAATCATAACAATAAGCAGCAAGACTAAACAGGAGCGTGGAACCTCCAGGAGAGAGCCAAAGGGCTAAGGACCCGGCCGTGTTTGCCTTTCATTACCACGCTCACCGGAGGCACTTTCTCAAAGCGTATGTGGACTGTCTTATGTTAAGCCTGCGTGGGGGGAAAAAAACTTGGTTCATTTGTGTGGATTTTGTAGCAGGATACTTATTCGTTCGGCAAATGTTTTCTGTTGGGTGTTTTAGTTGGATGTCTGATTTCTTTCTGACTGTTTACCTGATTGTTTTACCCCCTCAAAAGGGTTTTAAGTTGCCTCACATGAGCTTGTCATGGCAAGTTTGATTCTATCGAGAGATCTTGGTATACAGAAAAAAACATTAAACCATACCCAGCCCAAGACCAGGCCCGATTATGCCACTGACCTAATTACAATCCAGCAACTGGCCCCATCATTACACTGACTGGGCGGGACAATGACTAAGCAATAACTAGTTTAAACTAACAGTTTAAACACAGGAATTACAATAATAACAAAGAGGAGCCATTGATCCATAGGGAGCGGGATGAACAACGTCAATAAATGTTAATAAATGTCCCGGACCAATACTGTCCTCTGCATCGGCAAAGGAACAACCTAAAATACCCATTGCATTGGGCAAAAAAGTGAGAAACCTCAGAGAGGGCCACATTGAGAGAGAGATCCAGTGCTGATCCAAGTAAAGTACAGTTTACCTGCATGAATCCATCCATGTGTGTTATGCTTTTTATTTTTGTGGAGTACTTTGATAGTCCCTTAAGAAATTGTGGTAAACTAACAGTTTAGTACAATTAACGTCAGAGAATACCTCTGTAGGAATAAACACACCATTTATTGCTCTATACCCCACCGTTTTACAGCAAAAGCAAATTTAGCACCAAATACAACATTTAAGGTATGGAGCAATGTTAGCATCACCTACTGTAATTTACAGCAAAAATGGCAAAACTTGAAATAAATCTGCTTAAACGACACATAATCAGACATCAAACTTAAATAAGTTTGTTAAGTTAAATATCCCGCTTTGCAGTTGCTCAAATCAGTCTGCTCCTGTGAGTGTTGACGGTTTTGTCTCTCTTTTAAGGACAATTATGGCTCCAGATTAACAAGACTAACCTTCTGATGATTAAGCTTGGATCAATCAGTGAGACAAAAACAATCCAACTGTCCAGTTGAGTGAAAATATATATATATATATATATATATATTAAAAATAAGGTAAAAATGCAGGTAAAAATGCTTTATACTTTATTGGTCTTTAACAATTCCACATTTCAATTGAAAATGTGCCTTGTTGTAATAAATTAAACGTTTTTGTGCCACTAGTGCGATTACTAAGCAGCTACAGAATCCTTGTGAATATTTTTTTATTTTCCTTTATTTTTCAAACTACATTCAGCAATATTTAGCCATAAAAGCATTTTTCCTCAGCACAAATTGTATGTTACCACATAGAAAATTGCAAACTTTTTCTCACGCTTAAAAATAAAAAGTACATATGAGAAATATTGAGCCCCATATTATATTGTTCTATCCACTCGTTAGTGAAGGAGAAATCAATATACCTATTGCGACAGGCCTAACTGTACCCAATAGGGAATTTTGTCATCTGCCTTTGTACCATCCTACATGCCATTTTCTATGACAACAGTGTTTTAAAACAGCTCAAAAATGATTATTTTGCAGAATATGTGTCTTTTAAATGAGTGTATCACTCAAAACTGAAACACTTCGGCAAGCTCACTCTTTGGCACACACAGCCCAAACGTCCTCTGTCTGTACAGAGCCCATGGCGGGGCCTGCCTCAGTCCTCTGGGAGCTGCGGGCCCTTGTACACAGGTGCAGGGCACAGAGGAGAGAGGAAGCTCCACATACATGCGCCTTTGCCAGTGACCTCTCCTCCACAGGACAGGCCAGTGACCGGGACCGCGGGGGATTACACATGTTACTGTCAATAAAGCCAGAGACCACAGTGTCAAGGGGAGGGCCCCACACAAACATTAACCTTCTGTGTCTGATGTGAACTCAAAGACACAATTGAAGTATTGATACTATGAAAAGGCACACTTTACTTGTGAAGGGTAGGCCACCTTCTAGCTGGAATGCTTTAATTTGATATGATTATTTTGAAACAGTCATACATATAACAGATCTCCATTCACAAGATATTCACAAGAGAGTAGGAAACAGAAACCCAGTCATATTTTTGTTAAAGTAATTACACTGTTCTGTCCCCTCACTGTATTCCTCCTTGAGAACATTAAGAGCAAAAACACTCTTATTTACTTTAGCAGTTTTTATATAAGCAGAATGGTTGTCAGGTGCAAATTAGTTTACATTTAGAGAGTAATTCATTAACAGTCTGCTGCTATTACACATTAGTAACATTTTATTATTAAGTTAGTCAATACTTTAATTTTTGAAAAGCCCTTTTCTACATAAAATAAGTTATTGAGATGATTTTTGTTGTTGTATTACAGTTGCCATTTAAGCTGGAGTTCTTTCACTATAGTTTTCACATGCCTTTTTGATACAGAGGAGATACTATGTTGCTAATATGACACTAAGTAGTGATTTGATTCATTCACCACCACTGTTCTCATGTCTGGCTGTCAAGACCAGAAGGCTTTTGCAGACCTAACTCCAGAGCTTCAGTCAGTGGGGACTGTGTTGTTCCTAAGTCTACTCCTTGAATGGAGCCCGACTGTGGAACCTGTGGAACTGTGGACCAAAAACTACAAACCGACTTAAACATCTTTACCAGACGTCTAAACTGTAGCTGAAATAAGAAAAACATGTGTTCACAATAGTTGAAATGTCCGCATTGTGGGACAAATAAAAGGATCTCTTATTTTATCTTAATGGTATTTTTTTTATTAGATTAATTTTATATGTGTACACTCCAAAATGCCTCTTATGGATGAAGAGTTGAAAATTACCATGGTCTTGCTATAACACTAAAGGCAGTGCATCTGGTCTGTCCAATGTGACTGTTGTGTCCATGTCAAACCAGGAACGAGTTAGAGGGATTTCATGACATAGTTCCATGTTTTGATGTTTGAAAGTTATGTACAGTATGAGAAACGACAACAATGGATACACATTCCACCAGAATTACCCTGTATCTGTGCAGCAAGACCCTTTAATCTTGCTGCACAGATACAGCATTTGTGGATTTCACCCTCAAAATACAGCCTTTGAAAACACAAACGGAACTTGCTCCCCTTGCATCAAATAGAAAGCGCACGTTACAGACAAAGACATGTATTAGACCGGATTTATCAACACATATCGCCTTACCTGGGGAACTTCTCTCTCAGCATCTCCATACATTGTCGTGTGGGTCTGAGTTGCTCTGTCCACTTCACTATTTCTTTATATTCTTCTCTGGACAGCTTCATGTTTGCACAAATCTGCTTTAACCGGACCTGCACACACAAGATACCGTCACATTGCATTGAGCGTCATTATAACACGTGCAAAGTCATAATAAACAAACCAGCGCTAAGCTAGTATCTCGTTAGCATTCGGTGATTTGACACATAATGCATTAAATACAAAGTGAGAACAGTATTTATACCGTCTACAGTGTGATATGTGTGTAGTGGGGGTCGGATAGAACGCATTTGTGTGAGAAATAGATGAAATGAACCCGTTTGTTTACCTCCGGAGATGACAGCCGACGCTTCCCGCTTGGAAGTTGAACAGAAGCTGACTTCGGTTAAACCAGCGCGTTGATTGGTTGGTAACACGGAAATGATGAATATAGTCGATTCTGATTGGTAGGAAAGGGAAAGGCAGCGCGAGGAAGGCAGAAAGGAGGAGAACACGATGATAACAAATGATTTAGGCACACCTAGCAGATACATCCGTCTGAAATGCAGCAGTATTTAGCTGTATTTGATCAGCACTATTTTTTAAGTTAAAAATGTGTTCGAGATTGAAAGAAAGTTTAATATAATTAAAAAAATATAATGACATTTGTAGAGAAATTAGATACAGGTATATGTTTCAATGTTTGAGTAATTGGGGGAAAATGCTCAATACCTTAGCTACTTGAACTTGAATTATATTTTCATTGCCATTGTAACTAACAAGAAGTGAAGAAGAAGAACAAGGAATTTACTTTGGCTCATGGTGCAAACAAGTTATAAAAGTAAAAGAGAATGTACATTAAGGCATGCAAGAAAAATCTTCACAAAACGTTTATACACCTCTACATTATACAAGTGCACACTAAGTAAACACAAACAGTGCAGGTTTAAGTGACAGTAGGTAACGATTGTATGGGCAGGTCAAGTGATTAGGGATGAAGTATTTATGACTCCAGAGGGGAGGTTAGATTAAAAACATACAAAAAAATAGCTTACAACACAACAATATTGCAGACCAGCCAGAAAAAATGAAAATAAAATATTAAATATATTCATATAATTAGTTCCCTTTTGCCCTCATAATCATCTAAAGACACTTACATGGATATTCAAATAATATTGTCAGGCATCCAAGAAAATACAACACATGTTCAATATCTTTTCTTATCCTGAAATATTCCTACGGGATCAATACAATTATTATCCATCAATTTATTTGTTTAATGTCCTAGCATATATTCCCTCTGTGTATTTTATTACACAGTATCTTACTTTCATTCATAAATGACACTGGGGTAACAAAAAAATCTAATTGATCAGAGAGGTATTTTACACAAAGGACATTTCTTGTGTTTTTGCAAACCCTGAGTGATCTTATTTATGCCAAATATAACATGTGCATTTCTCCATTGTGAGATCCATGAAGTTTTATCTTGGTCCTGGGTTCGAATCCCTGTCGTAACAGGGCCTTTCTGAGTGGAGTTTGCATGTTCTACCCCGTGTCTGCATAGGTTTCCTCCGGTGGCTCCGGTTTCCCCTACCACTCAAAACATGTACAATAGTGAGTGTGTGTTTGTGAGTGCAAATGTGGGACAACGGTTGCAAATTAGCCCATCTGGAGAGGTGTGTTCATTAACAAGCACTGTCCCAACTAAATAAACAATACATCAATAATTAAAATTTTATCCTTTCTTAAATATAAGCATGCATGTCTGTGAAGTTATTTGTAAATAATGACTTCCCATCATCATGGAGTTCATGAGCCAACACTGGAAACGGCACATGTCCTGCCACAGCCTCCACCGCCTGTATCCAAGTCATAATAAAGTCATCCATATTGTTTGTGTGAAATTGCTGCTGAGGTGCCCTGCTCTCCTCTTATAGCCCCCGAGACATAGCACTGGTCTGGGCTGCCCTTAATTAATTCTCACAACCTGAAGGAATGTAACCACACACGTGCAGACACACACACACACACACATCTCATCAACACCTCGGGCCCCTGGAGCCACTGATGGAGCTGCTTTAAATGGCCCCCAGGACACTGCAGTGTAATGAGAGCAGGGATGGTGCTATAGGCTATACGAGGAATACCCACAAGACGACAATGTGATGTTGAATTAAAGGACGTGCCGTGTTATGACTAAATTAGATGCGGGGGAAAGGTGCAAGGGTTTATGAATTTCTCTCATGTTTTATTGTGCAATATACTGTGCTATTGAGGCTTCCGTGTGGATAAAAAACACATGTAACAGACAAGTCTCCAGACAGTAATACCTTTGAGCAGTCTTTTTAAATCCATTTTGGCCATTGTTCCATTTGAACACATGGATAGAGATACAACTCCACCCACGCACAGGAACTTCTTGCACAAACCTGTCTACCCAACCCTTCTGTTTAAATACCCTTTTCGCAAACTCAGACTACACCATGCACAGAGTTGATTCCTGATTACCTCCAGATTACTTTTAGGAATTCCCCAGTCAGATGATGTTATTTACACCTGTGTTTGTACTGTGACAGGTTTCTGGTACTGATTTTTCATGAAAAGTTCATGTTGTTTATCCCAGAAAACAATAGTCTTAAAAGTAAAATTATTATTAAAACACATGTTGTACTTTGCATACAAAGGAAGAGCCCTGGGAGTCACTCTTACTTTTGGCTGAGAGATGATTGTCTAAGTGAGAGAGATCTTTTTTGTGAAAGAGGCAAAACAAATTCTGGTTAAAATACGGATGGCAAAGCTGCACATACTTTATGGTAAAAAAGCCTCCTGTCTCTGTAAATTCCTGGGCCGGCTTGCATGTACTGCACATTTGAGATGTCCCCAGCGCGGTGCAACTATTTGATCATATAAAAATATTTGACAATATATGGCTTTCACAACCACTAAAGAGTGAAAAAATAAGTGTTCATAATTCATAATCTCCAAAATATGGCAAAAACAATCAAATCTATGGCAGTATGTGTACACATTCAATTACAACTGTACATCCATCCATTCATCGGCATCATTCTGTACATGAATGCATTTAACAATCAAAACTATGAAGTGATAAAGTAAATATTCGCACAATTAACACAAGTAAAGCACATTTCCCAAATATTTGATGGAAGCTGATGAGGATTTGTGTTGCATATACAGTATATCATTCCATTGTGTTTTTACAAGTGACCTCATGTCATAAGAAAGGGCAGAGTTATCTTGGACTCACTGTATATTCAAAATGCGGAGTCATCCCTGTTTGCTCCATTTACTGTATAAACCCATTTCCTGAAAAAACTCAGCTCTGAGGTTTTGCACTGGCCATTGATATTCGTTCTTTCAATGGCCAGTACAAAACAAGTCGAGTCTCCTATTGTCTCTTCTTAATAACAACAGCAACAACAACAACAACAACACATCCTTCATCACCAGCATCACAAATGGCTCTTCTTTCAGTAAAGCACAAACAAGTTAAGGTTAACCACCCCATTATACGCACACACGGGAGACCTTGGCCTTGCTCTGTAACGTTTGACTGCACATTTCATCTGATTCCAGGGACACTCCGGGCTCTGATCTCTGACCTCACCGCTCTCTGGTCCCATTGAAGCCTCCACAATCAAACCAAGACCCCCGCCCCTCACACTCAGCTTTGTGTGCATGGGGCCGGTGTGCAGCAGCATGATGACGGGAGATGAACTCAGGTCGTGCATGGCTGGGGGTCCACAAAAGCGCTGTAGTAAAGGAAGGTCCTGGTTCAGATAAGATCGCAGTAGTGAGGAAGGGAAGCTGAGATTGCTACAAAGGGCTGGGGTCATGGTGCGATCAATGGTTGTAAAGGGATCAATGTGAAGGGATGTGTAAGAGAGCAGAGAGAGACAAGAGAGTTTATTTGAGGAGTGCGGTTGCTCATTTAACATGCTTTACAAAATATGAAAGATGCATTAAAATCATCCTTTAAACATGAATAAAGCAAATCATTTGTACCCTAAGATTGTTCATCTTGTATTCTTAGTATATTCAAAATTTTTATCAGGATATATGCACACTCCTGCTGTCAGAAGTATCTGGCAACGTCACACCAGCAAGCGAGATGAAAGAGGCTCCTGATGTCAAGCCATTATGTGATCTATTTGTTATATATTCTAAGCTTATGTTGGTCCGGGCCCAATTTACTTAAAAGTCAAGTTTGAACCCTAATGATAGCAGCAATAGTTCAGTTCTCAAATGATTTTAACATAAGCTGCACTGAGAGGCCAATTCATATATTTCCCAAGGTACTATTGGATACTAGTACAATTACTATTGGATCAACATTTTAGAATACATTTGTAGAAAAGTAACGTTTGAGTAGCCCGCTTCTTAGAGTGCTCCAAGTTAATGATAATGATCGGAGTTAATTTCAGGGGCAAAGAAGTCTTTCTAGTCTTCTCATTATTTTGTCCAATTATGTGATATTAGAATAACTGCCAAAGCACATCAAACAGCATCTCATTGTGGCAACACTGAGTGAAAATCACTGGTCTTAAGCAACTGCCAAGCTCGTCTTCACAGAGGGACAGGGGATTGGGAGGTACTGATGTGTGGACCCGTGTAGACCCGTGTGGACCTATGTGGACCCGTGTGGACCCGTATGAACCCGTGTGGACCTATGTGGACCCGCGTTGACCCGCATGAACCCGTGTGGACCTGTGGGGACCCGTTGGATCCGCAATGGAAAAAACTTATAGAGTAGTAATGGGTTATGTATGGAAGTATATCTTAGACTGTAAATAGAATCAGAATCAGAATCATTTTTATTGCCACGTAAGTAACAGGAGGTCACAGACTTGGAAATTGCTTTGGCTCAGTGTAACAGTCAAAAAGAGATAATAAAAATAAGAATAAAAAACACTTCTAAAGAATACATTTCAATTTAAAATAGAGTTACAGTTACTATTTACAATATACAAGTGCACATGGTGCACACAAATATTGAGTGTACTGTATGTGCCAGACCAGAGCACATTTATCAACATTTGAGGTAATTCTTAACAATATCACTCACATACATCAAACAAAGTCAGTGTCTCCCATTCTTTCCTTTATTAATGTATCCCCCTCCACACACACACACACACACTTTTGAATCCAGTGACCTCTGTGCCTATGTTATGGAGAGTAGCGTTCCCAACAGCAGGGCCATCTCCATGTGTTCAACCCATGTCCGTATTTCACCATCCCAGACAGGACGCATGTGTTGCGGGCCTGCTCCGAAAGCTGCTCCCACCCATACTTTTATTAGCCTTAATGAATTTAATTAGACAGCGGTGGTCTTGGCAGCGGCACAGTCAGCGATCACGTCCATGGGAATTCTCCATTGTTTGGCACATATTCCATTCAAATGAAATCCATGCAAAAGCTGTCATTTTACAGGCAGGAGAAACAAATCTGGAAGAAAGAAATCTGGAATTACAGCCAATTATTGATCCAATCCAATCCAATCCAACTTTATTTATAAAGCACTTTAAAAACAACAGCGTCGACCAAAGTGCTGAACACAACAATGAGGATTACATTAATAAAACAGTAAAAACAAAAGTACAAAACATTCCAAAGTCAAACTTCTCAGGTTGTGTTAAAAGCCAAGGAAAAAAGGTGTGTTTTAAGAGAGGATTTAAAAGGAACAAGAGACTCTGTCTGTCTGAGGTGCAGGGCAGATGTTGTTAAAGCAGATGTTGAGCTTTTGGAGGCTGATATTTAAAGGTATAAGAGGATTTTCTACTTCTGGGTGGATTGATTGATTGATTGATTGATTTTATTTCAAGCTTATAAACAGGAATCAATTTATAGATTTAAAAGCAATGACATACAATACATGATAGAATTTTACATACATACATACATACATACATTAATGTATATATACATTTTTATTTTTATTATTTTTATTTATTTTCACTTTTAATTTATTTTCACTCCTGTTAAAGCTCAAAAAGGAGTGGGAAGAAGTCAAACTTATAGGCTCCCACCCCCTGTACCTATATTCACTTTATACGGTTGCACCTACCTGCCCACCCATACTGTACATACAGACATAGCCATACATATACAATATTCATACACACATATTATAGTTGTTCTTGTCATGTATAAATATGTAACCATACACACACACAAATACACAAATATATATATATTTATATATATATATACACCTACACATATACACATATACACACGTACACATATACACATATACATACATACACATATATATACATACATATATACACACATACATATACATACACATACACATATATATATATATATACATACATATATCATCAAGATTATTGCTCCTCCCAGTTGTCAATCATTCTGGTCATACTACTCCTCAAATAAGATCAAAGAGTTTTGTTCAAAAACTGCGGGGGGGCGGTTATTTTCGAAAATGTTGGCCTTTGTCACATCTTCAGTGATAGATTTTTTATGATAACTATGAAGAAAGCTGACAGACATAACTTCAAAATGGTTCTGCTTTCTTTACTATCTAAATAGTGTAAAACAACTTTTAGTTTTTGTTTCTCAATTTCAATGCATCGGTTTTATATAGTACTTTTTTGGACACTCAAAGACATGTCATTATTCTTTCACTCCAAACACGGTGGTGATGAACTACTACTGAAGCCACAGCTGCCCTGGGGCACACCGACAGAAGCGAGGCAACCAGTATGTGCCATCGGCCCCTTCAACCATTCACACACACATCAGACTTATTCTAGGCAATGGGGGTGAAGTGTCTTGCCTAAGGACACAACGACAGCACAGTGGGAGTCGATGGTGAAAAGTGGTAAGCTAAATGTACGTATGCTGTGCCTTCTCACTGGGTTTAAAAGCATATATCTAAAGGTGCACTCCTCACTTTTCCTATTGTGGTGGACCCATTTTCTGCTTTTGTTCAGCTAAATGCTGTTGATTTGCCTTCATAGTTTGTCATTAAACTTGCCTTTTACAAAACAAGCATTTGACTTCACTATGCTAAGTTACAAGTATATCTAAGAGGCGAGTCTTTTCACTGTAAAAAAATAAATAAACTAAAAATAAAATAAAAACATCTCTAAATATGGTATATTTTATAAGTAAAAGATATTGCCCCAAAATCAGATTAATATAATAAAAGCTCAAACAATAAGAAGTTGAGAAGAGTTTTGTAGTAAATGTCTCTATTGTAAAATCAATAAAGTTTATCTTATCTTATGTTCACATGGTATTATTTCAACAGCCTTCTTGCTTTAATATTGATAATACATTGCTAACATTGGCATTTTTAAAAGGAACAAGCAACAACATTAAACAGTTTCAATTCCACCTCCAGACGGGGCCATGTGGAGTTTGCATGTTCTCCTCGTGTCTGCGAAGGTTACCTCTGGGTGCTCCGGTTCCCACTACCACTAAAAACATGTACAATATTTCAAGTTGAATGAGTGTTTGTGAGTATGACTGCAGGACAAAAGATGAAATTAGCCCATGGAAACAACCGGGTGTATTTCGTCCCCTGCATGGATCCAAAGAAATGTGATACAATATTTCAAAACATTTTTATTGGACCCGGATCTGTTTGTGTTCAGTCATAGCCAAAGGAACACAATACAGTTTTTTCCTGTTGCTTGAACACAGTTTGCAAAATTTCGCTCAAAGTCCCAAAACTCTACACACACGAGAACCTGACACAACACTGGGACATAAACCAGACACATCTGTGTCAAAATGAAACTCCTCTATCAAAACTCAAACTCTGCTCTCAAAACTCAAACTCTGCTCTCAAAATTAAACAATCATTCGTCAAAATGAAACTCTGAGGACAAAATGACACACACTTGCATCACGTGAACACACTTTCAGATTGAAAGCAACACACTACAGTACTTTATATAAAACACTGCAGTCATTTTCACTGTTTTTGTTCTGTTTATCAGTTAGTTTTCTGTGAAGCTCAATGGAACTGTTTTTGTTCTCTGTAGCACTGAAAGGTTACACATAATATAAACCCAATACAGTACAGTACTACAGTATACTTTACAGTACAGTACTACAGTATACTTTACAGTACAGTACTACAGTATACTTTATAGTGCAGTACTACAGTATACTTTACAGTACAGTACTACAGTATACTTTACAGTACAGTACTACAGTATACTTTATAGTGCAGTACTACAGTATACTTTACAGTACAGTACTACAGCATACTTTACAGTACAGTACTACAGTATACTTTACAGTACAGTACAATTGTGTCAATGCAGTAAAACAAAAAAACTCTAATGTAAAACTAAGCAGTTGTGCGTGTGTGGATTATGGATCATGGTTCATGGTCTAACTATTTCCACGAAGGCAAGTTCATGTTGTTGGTGAACAGTTGCCGACCACCTCCGGATGTTCTTTTAGTCATTTTGTATAAATATGAAACCACAAATTGTTACTATAGGTTTAGTTTTTTTACAGTACAAATGTACACAGTACTGTTATATCTCAGTTTTATGTACTTTACCGTCTTGTATGTTTCACAAAACTACATTTCTTTCAAAAAGGAGCAATAGCCAACTTGCAAAACAGTACATGTGATACAGAACAGTACTGTAAATATTGTAGGTACAGTCTGCAGTAGAGACTTACAGTACATGTGATACAGTACTGTAAATACTGTAGATACAGTCTGCAGTAGAGC